GGGGAAAAGGGCGGCATACAAATGAAATAAATGAAATGAATGAAATGAAATGAAATGTACTAATCCCTCCATAAATTGTGAAAGCTCTCCTCTTTGGAATGTAGCTGTGGTGCTCCAAAGCAGACAGTGGGGCATATTCTGGAACAGTGCCCTCTGAGTGCATATCACAGGAACCCCAAAAACCTTTAGTATGCAACTCTGTATTGAGTTTATAATCTATCTCTGAATTTGTAAATAACTAGTTTCATATTTACTCTTTGACAATGTAATTGTGATGTGCTTTTAAATATTTTTTTCCACTATGCTAAATAACTAAAACTCCAAGCACAATTGCTTGTTGGTGCTTCGTGACTCATCCTAAGCCAGCAAGAAACACAAAAGGATAGCAATCTTTCTTGACCTCATGGCTAATTATGCGGAAACCTCTTAAATGCAATAGCCATAAAGGTCATGGGCATTTTATGAGACGGCAAGTGACCTCATGTGCAGCACAATCGCATCATGCAAATGGCTTCAGTCACATCATTAGCCCATAGAAGTCGTGTCATGCATGGTACCGATGTTTATGACTGCACTGCTAGTCAAGAGTGCTTGCCTGCCCTGCCCATTGTTTTTTACGAATTGGATTCAATTTCTAAAGGTGTGCAGCAAGGCATGGGAGCATTGCTGAGCTCTATGGAGGGCAGGTAAAAGTGCCCCTTGAACCCAGCCCTTTCCCACTGGCCAATGCTAAGAAGGTAACTTCTGAAACCCTGCTTGGTGCTTGAATAAATTGCCAGCAGTCGCTTGGGGATCCAATATGGGAAGGAGTTGCTTAATGATTTGTAGCAGTTTTTGCTCTTTTAGGGATCCAGGCCTACAGGTGGTTTTAGGTGAGGCTTAAAAGGAAAAGGGGACTTACAGGTACCTGACTGGCAAGGCTCAGGTTCACTGCTGCAGCTTTCTTCTTGCTATTGGTGCTGTTGATGTTATTCCCGGCACTGCTATTGGAGGTGCTACCGGTGGAATTTTTTCTTTTTCTCCTTTTGGTGGTTGGCTGTCTTGCAGGCTCTACTGTGGGAGAGAAAAGACTGAGATGCACCACAAAGGCATATGCAGAGAGTCGAAGGAACCTGGCTACCATGCATGAGTCTGTGCCCTCTCAAATTCATTAAATGGGGCAGGCACAACGTTGAAAATAGGGCTAACTCTTGGGAAAGTTAACCTGTCAAAAAGCATAGATAAATTAAGAAGTAGGAAAAAGAAGGAAAAGTTGTTTATAGTTTGGCATCCGTGATACAAAAAAAATGCTCTGCTATATGCTATTCTGTACTTCTGTATAGATTGTGTTGTATTATAATAGTGTTTCCCAACTTTAGCAACTTTAAGATATGTGGATTTCAACCCAGAATTCCCTAGTCAACCATGCTGACTGGGAATTCTTGGAGTTGAAATCCACATAACCTTGCCAAGGTTGAAAAATACTGTATCGTAGTAATAGTGTTTTATAGTCTTTGCACAAAGTTGCTTGCCACACTCAGCTGAGCAAAAAGTGGAGACAAATTGCTTGGATTCATAACGGGCATTATCAAGAAACTAGATTACCTTGGCTTAGAGTCAGAATAAAAACCTAAGATTTACATCCATTCACTTTGCCCTCTAAAGGACAATAGAAGCATTATTTTGCATGGGTGCAATTAGACGTCTATTTATGCAAAGATCTCTTCTCTTCTGGACAAATCCTGAGTGGGAGGATCAGAAAAATACACTGAATCAAAAATATTTTCTACCAGAAAGACTTTATATTCAGTGTACATAGAATCATAGGGTTGGAAAGCATCTTGGAAGTCTTCCAGCCCAACCCCTTACCCAAGGCAGAAGTCCTACCATCTTGGACAAATGGTTGTCCAATCTTTTCTTGAAAACTGCCAGCAATGGAGCACCTACAAAGCTGGAAACATTTCCTAGATTCTGCTAGGCAAAATAACCAATGATAATTTTAGGAGATATGCTTTAGGTTATGCTTTTTTTTAGCTCTAGACAATCTTTCATATTCATATCCCTATCTGTGCCATTTCATTTCCCTCCTTCTCTTTCTGTCCCCCACCCTGTTTTATTTTCCTCTATGGCTACATAGAGGAAATTTATTATAGTCAAAGACCAGTACAATTAAAAATGCTCAAAAGAGTATCTTGTAAAAGTTCTAGAATGGAATAATAGTAAATAAAATCTGTATTGAAATCATAATTTGACAGCATATCTATTGTTGTATATAAACAAGAGCATGGCCTGAGCTATGTAACCACATTCCTGAAATTGTGAAGGCCTATAGTTATTAGGTACTAAAATACAACAAGGTGATAATATGTGTTAGGGGTATCTCTGTTGGGAGACAGAAAGTAGTGCAGCGGAATGTACAGCTAGAGAGAAAGAATG